TCTCCTCAGTCTCTGGTTCATCAACACAGCTTCACTGATGATCCAATAGAAACCCAAAATGATCCAGAACCAACAGTAAACCCAGGATAGAGCGGCTGAGTGAATGTGGTCTGGACTGTGTGGATGAGGCTCATTGTGTCAGAGACGCTGTAGAAGGACAGAGTTCCTGCACTGTGATCCACAAACACTCCTATTCTCCTGCTGCTGATGATGATGGGCTTCACAGAGAGACGAGTCTCTATCTTATTGTGTCTGAACGAGTAACTGGAGGAAGAGCAGATCAAACTCCAGGACTGATCATTAGATCCAAACCAACATTCTTTACCCTGTCTTTTCTTGCTGATGCTCTTATATGACACTGATATACACACATCTCCACTCCACTTAATCTCCCAGTAACAGCGTCCACACACACTCTCTCTACACAACACCTGAGGATACACATCAAATCTGTCTGTACATTTCTTTAGTCCTGCTGTAATCCTGGATTCTCCTCCATGATCCATACTAGAAAACACACACAGAGCATGTTTTGGAATGATTTAGCATGTTCTAGGCTTGATTGAGTCTCAAGGGATTCTGGGAGTTTGAATAGTTGTGGCTCATCTGAACATTCCGTCAGTGTAAAGGCCCGTTCACACCAAGCACAATAACTATAAAGATAACGATAACGATATAGTTCTGAAAATCGTTCTCAATATTAAAGGATAGCATAGTTCACACCACAACTATAACGATAACGATACAGAGGAACGATATCGTTATGATCGCTTTCAAAACAATTTTTTCCAGCTGATGAACGATAAAACACTGACAGCCAATCAGAATCCATCCTGCTGTAACGAGCTCAAGAATTTAAAGCGGCAGACGAGTGTGCGCTTAGAATAAACAGACGATATCGTTCGCTGGTGTGGACGCTAATATCGTTATCTTTATAGTTATCGTTCTTGGTGTGAACGGGGCTTAAGTCTGTGGGGATTTTTATCAGTGGTCGGCAGCTGGTGAAGTCTTTTGACATAATGAAATAAATAAAACCCAAACGCTATTTTCTAACAAGATCAAATGTATATCAAGCACAGCAAGGTCAGCTCAGAAGAGCTGTCACCGGTCCTATAGCACCACGGGTTGTTACTACAGTTAACAGTTGCTACGGTCAGGCGTGCAGTGAAGAGAGCAGAGAGCGGCGAGACAGATGAAACTTTCAGTGAGTGAAAAGTCCTCAAGGCGAGACATTGCAGGTGAATGGGGTAAAAACATTAATGACTAATTATCACCTTGCTTACCCAGTTGATTGATTACATTGATAATTGCAAAAAAAATTGTATTACAAGTTTTCTAAAATGTTATGTTTAAATATGCAAATGATGTATTATTTAATGAAATATGCGCTAATTTGCATACATTTCTAATACACAATTCTGAACACTGGATCAAGTCAGTTTCAAAATTCTTGTTTATTTTTTCTTGACATATTAGAGGCAAATGTTTTTACAGAGGGAATTTTGGGTATCTCTTTGTCACTCCATAATTCAGAAAATACTTTGAACAGCCAGAAAACAATATATTTTCACAATTTTTGGGGGGGGAAATAAAATGTTGTATATAATGAAGCAAATTATATATGAACAAATCCCTCTGTAAAAACCTTCAGAATATAGACAGGAATAAAAATTTAAAGTTTGGTGTGTAAGTGCTACTGAAGTGGAGATTTATGGCTCTGTTTAGGAGAAAAAACTCATTTTGAGAAAACAGCCTTTAAAAATATGTATTGTAATTGAAATCTATTGACACAAATAGGTAAAGTGCTATAAAAAAAACACTTAACAGTGTCTTTTGGATGTTTTCTTTCCAATAGTATGAAAAAACACTTTATGAAAAGCCAAAAAGCCCAAAATCTCAAAATTGACAGGTGCATGAAAAAACTGTGCTTTTGCCTGCAGTGTCTCCCCTTAAAAAGTCTTAAATTTAATTGAATCAAATTTAAGGCATTAAAAGTCTTAAATAGTACAAGAAAATCTTAATAAGGATTTTTAGGAGATCTTAAATGTGGGGATGGTAAGATGAGAATTGCGATACGGGTTAATATGATGATTAAACTTCAAAAGCCTCTGATTTCATTGAATATGAGCGCTGCACGTTTCAGAGTCAGCTGCTGTGCTGCTTTGTGTTCTGCTGTTACCAGAGAAACAGCTGTGTTTCTGCCGTTCCAAAAGCGCCTCCTGCTGGCAGAGAATGAATGTGCATTTTTATTAAGCCCATCCGCTGTTGTTGTTCAGACCAATGTGAAAATCAACCCATGTTTTCATGCAAACACGAGTTGTAAATGTGAACTGGTGGATCGACAAGAAGCTAATGCATTATAAAACTTTAAAACATTCAGACAGTAAAATATATTTATGTATTATTTAATGAAAAGGCTTTAATTGATTGATAATAATTATTTAAATTAATATAGCCTAATAATTGATACTTTTGCCTCCATTTTCTTAAAAAAAATGATTTAAAGGCTGAAATGTGAAGTGAATCATTCTAAAAAATCTTTTTGTTTTTGTGAAAACGTCTCAGGTTACGTATGTAACCCTAGTTCCTCGAGGGAACGAGACGCTGCGTCGAGAACACTAGGGGAACGCCTTCAGTGACCCACGCTCTGAATCACATGTGAAATCAGTCCAATAGCTGAACGGTACGTCACGGCGGATGACGTCATGAACGGGAAGCTATAAAAGCACGTGCGGCGGAGACAGCGTCAGCTTCTAGGAATGAAGCAAGCGCCGGCAGGGACACCGGAAGTATGGCACCGAGATGCAGCGTCTCGTTCCCTCGAGGAACTAGGGTTACATACGTAACCTGAGACGTTCCTCTTCAGGAACTCGAGCTGCGTCGAGAACACTAGGGGAACGAGAATGCCCACGTCGCCAGACTTCCAAATCTCTGCCTAGTGTGGAAGACTGCACAGCTAGGGCGAGAGAACAAAAGAGCCCGGAGTGGCTAAAGTAGGCGGGGCTCGCCATCCCGAAGGCCAACTTCTGGAGGAGTGAATCTTGACCCCCAAAGGAGAGGGGAGATCAGAGGACTCGAGGCTATGGAATAGCATCCTGATCCACCACTTAGCCTAAGCTTCTCTGGCCGGAGGCCTCAGCCTCAGCGCACCGCAGAGGAAATGTGTAAGAAGAGGGTGTCTTCCCACTGAATGGCCACCGAGAGGGGCGTGGTAGGCCGCAATGGCCATCACGAAGCCCTCTAGGGTGGAGTGGGTCAACCCTGCGGATAAACAGGCCTACAGGAACTCCAGAACTGTACCAGACGGGCAGTTAGCTGGGTCGGGCTGGCGATCTCCGCAGAAATACAGTTTCCTCCTAGAGGGAGCTCTGGATGTAGGATGGTCTCAACAACCTCGGTTGAGAGACCGGAAGTTATGAGTTGTGCCTCCTCAGAGGCCACACCCACAGCTCCTGCGTGCCCTCCGCCTGTGAGAGGAGATCTCTCCTGACGGGAATCTCCCATAGAGCGCCGTCGAGGAGAGAAATCAGGCCTGAGACCCAACTCGGCCCGGCCGGAACGGGGATACAAACAACCGACGGGCCCTGTCCCGGCGCACTCTCTCCAGAACTCCCAGGAGGCAGAAAAATCAGAGGAAAGGCGTACAGACGATGCCTCGGCCACGTCTGTACCATGGCATCCAGCCCCAGTGGAGCTGGATGAGTCAGAGAGAACCAGAGGGGACAGTGTGATATCATATGAGTCGCAACAGGCCCACCTGAGCCTGGCCAAACACTCTCCATATCTGCTTCACCACCTCGGGGTGAAGCATCCATTCCCCGGGCCTCAGCCCCTGCCTCAACAGGATATCTGCTCCCTTCTTGAGATGCCCAGGAATGTAAACTGCTCGCAACGAGAGGAGTTTGCCCTGGGACCACACAAGTATCTGTTGCGCCAGCTTGTACAAGGGGCGCGAACGCAGAACTCCCTGGCGGTTGATGTAAGAGACCACCGTTGCGTTGTTACCAACATATGGTGACCTCTTAACTCGAAACAGGGCCGGCATCTCCCGACAATTGAATGCCATGTCAGATGGCGACCACTCCACAGACCGCGGGCAGGGTGGCTACTCATGACCGCACTTCAGAAAATACTTTGAACAGCCAGAAAACAATATATTTTCACAATTTTTGGGGGGGGAAATAAAATGTTGTATATAATGAAGCAAATTATATATGAACAAATCCCTCTGTAAAAACCTTCAGAATATAGACAGGAATAAAAATTTAAAGTTTGGTGTGTAAGTGCTACTGAAGTGGAGATTTATGGCTCTGTTTAGGAGAAAAAACTCATTTTGAGAAAACAGCCTTTAAAAATATGTATTGTAATTGAAATCTATTGACACAAATAGATAAGGTGCTATAAAAGAAAACTTAACAGTGTCTTTTGGATGTTTTCTTTCCAATAGTATGAAAAAACACTTTATGAAAAGCCAAAAAGCCCAAAATCTCAAAATTGACAGGTGCATGAAAAAACTGTGCTTTTGCCTGCAGTGTCTCCCCTTAAAAAGTCTTAAATTTAATTGAATCAAATTTAAGGCATTAAAAGTCTTAAATAGTACAAGAAAATCTTAATAAGGATTTTTAGGAGATCTTAAATGTGGGGATGGTAAGATGAGAATTGCGATACGGGTTAATATGATGATTAAACTTCAAAAGCCTCTGGTTTCATTGAATATGAGCACTGCACGTTTCAGAGTCAGCTGCTGCGCTGCTTTGTGTTCTGCTGTTACCAGAGAAACAGCTGTGTTTCTGCCGTTCCAAAAGCGCCTCCTGCTGGCAGAGAATGAATGTGCATTTTTATTAAGCCCATCCGCTGTTGTTGTTCAGACCAATGTGAAAATCAACCCATGTTTTCATGCAAACACGAGTTGTAAATGTGAACTGGTGGATCGACAAGAAGCTAATGCATTATAAAACTTTAAAACATTCAGACAGTAAAATATATTTATGTATTATTTAATGAAAAGGCTTTAATTGATTGATAATAATTATTTAAATTAATATAGCCTAATAATTGCTGACGCTGGCTCCGCCGCACGTGCTTTTATAGCTTCCCGTTCATGACGTCATCCGCCGTGACGTACCGCTCAGCTATTGGACTGATTTCACATGTGATTCAGAGCGTGGGTCACTGAAGGCGTTCCCCTAGTGTTCTCGACGCAGCTCGAGTTCCTGAAGAGGAACTTGTCTTTCAACTCTAAATCATGCTTTTTACAGTCATTTTAATTTTATTTGTGCAGATCTTAAAAAGTCTTAAATATGAGCTTAAACATCCTGCCAATACAATGGTCTGCCAAAAACCACCAATTTATGTTTTAAGGTAGGCCTATATAACTGTCCGGACCTCGGCTGGTGAGGAGGGTTCATTACTGGACCTCGAGCAGCTTTAGTTGAAGACCCCTGGTCTGTGGGATTTTTATGGTTTTATCTTTTTCTTTAATTTTTCTTTATTTTCAGGTGTTTCTCAGAGACTGAACTGGTTTAAAGCGCAGAGATTCTGCAGCAATAAAATCTCTTCCTGAACTTCACAAGAGCTTGAAGAAACACAGCGGTGAGACGCGTGTTTGAGTCTGAAACCATACCACGAAATCAGCACAGTAATATTTGTCTGCACTATCAAAAATACATCTGAATCAGAAATGTTCATGATTCCCATCATTCTGACAGATAACAGATATTGTATTTACCTACTTTAGAAACTCTGATAACAGAGATCAGAAATGAATAAGAGACAATTACATTTTAAAGCATCTGATTAAAACAAACCTGGAAAGAGACGTGAAGACCAGAGATTCTTAGAGCATTCAGTGAATTATTCATGAGATTAAAAAATACAAAAGAGCAAAATGCAAATGAAAAAAATCAGGAGGAAACTTCTACAGAGAGTGTGAAGTTACGTCATGCAGTGTTGCATGCTGGGACACCGCTGCCATTCAGGGAGGATCGTCCTCTGCTACAAATGCTGAAATTAATACAGAGACCTGCTTATCTTTTGTTTTGTTTTTGTTTTTGCTTTTAAGTTAAATATTCACATTCTTCATTGTATCGTTTGCATGCTATTTTATCGCTTTGCATGATAATTAGATGTTTTCACTCAAGTTTTGTAGAGTTTTGTTTACAATGTTGATTTGATGACGGTGAAAGCAGTGTCTCCCGCTGGACGCTCGCTGCTGCTTCAGCGTCATACGGCAGAATATACAAATAAAAGTGTGTTCAACAAGCTGACAGAAGTCCATCCATTTCTTTGTTGGAAATGTTTCAGTGACAAAGTATAATTGTTGTTATTGTAAATATAAATTTTTCCATGACCACAGAGGAGAGTCAGAGATTGTGTTCAGCGGACAGACACGAATACACTGTATCTTTATATTTATTCCCACAAATGACAACCAAAATCAAATGCTTGGGAGCTTGTGAACAGTTTTGAGGCATTTTAAAATGCTGACAGTGATGCTAAAAGACGTGCAGATGAGCCAGAGCCGGCTTTAGCGCAGCACTGCTGAGCGGGCGGCTGAGGTAACGAAAGGGGGCGACATAGAAATCAGTGACGGATGTTTACAGCAGGTGTGCACATGAAAGCGACAGTGGTCTATAACCAGAAAAAGTACAGGGCTCATTTCCACACAGCAGACATCATGACCATGGCAGACACATGAGTAAACATAGGTGTGGGGTTGAAAAAGGTAGCATTGTCACTTGACCTGAGTGGGCTGCACCTATGAGATCACTGAATACTGTTGTTTAGTGTTAACCTGAATTAAATGAATTAATTAATTTTTTTTTTTTTTTTTTTTAACCGCAAGGTCTAGAGACGTGATTTTAGAAGCTGAATTTCTTTGTACTTGAGCGCCGTGTTTTAGTATGATGTATTATGCATGAAAAGCTGCTATAAAGACCTGAGACGAGCACGGCATTCAAACACAAATTCAAAGACGTCATGCTTGACATACTTCAGTTTATCCAGTGAGCAGTTTGAGTCCTGCAGTTTTTCAGAGAGCAGCTTGACTCCTGAATCTCCGGGGTGATTGTAGCTCAGATCCAGCTCTCTCAGGTGTGAGGGGTTTGAACTCAGAGCTGAAGACACATAACCACAGCCTTCCTCTGTCACCATACAGCCAGACAACCTACAAATACAGCAACAGTCCATGTGACATCTCTTACACACATTTATACTTATTTCAGCCATTAATTAATCCTATGTGGTCACGTCTTAAGGTTTACTTTGTTAAAAAGAAAACTTCTCCCTCATTAGAAATGCAATAATGTCACTATCAGTATATGATGTCAATTATATAAAAACAAAACAAAAAAGCTAAAACGCCATGTAAACATTATAAATAAAATGATGGAAACGGCTGTCCAGTGGAGTTGTATCACTGGTGTTACTGCTGAACAAACAACACTTGTTAAGAAAAAAATCTAGACTTTTGACATCACTTTCTATTTACATCTATTTGGCATCACTTTCTACTGTCCTTTCACCTTGGAAGAATACATATCGTCATTGTCATGTTGAAAAAATGCCCACCAACGCAAGCAAATGAGGAGAGGGTAGCATGTTCTGTTTCAAGGTGTGTGAATTCATGACAGCATTGATTTAAAAAAACCTTCATCACTCATGCATCCCTATAAAAGAGCTTTACTACCACCAAACTTTACTGTGGGAACCAGGCACTCTCACTGTACTCCTCCTCTAGCAGCACCTGTTAGATCTGAATTGATTAGGCTAAATTAGTTTCTTGTGCTTTGGCTACAGTAGGTAGTTTCAGTGAGGGCAACAACTATGCATGTCACTTCTGCTGTCCACTGTCATGCATGCTTACATCACTGACTTACATTAATACTGACTACTGACTGTTTGAATACCTTTGTTAAGGCGGGCATACACGGTGTGATTATCGCAGATGCTTGCATGGTCGCGGCTCGTACCATGTGAGAAGAATTACGGGCCGATCCGAGACGTTACGAGCACCTCCCGTCCTCCCGATAATTTTCAAATATGTAAAAAAAAATCGGATTCTGTCGGTTTAAATTTGTAGCGTATGTGTGGTTGAACGAGACGATTTGGTGATCCATCTGAAGTTGACCAATCAGAAGATGACAAAAACCATATAGTCTATAATAATTTTTGTTTAATTATACAGTTCTATTTTTTATTTGTTATTCCGAATGTCCCACATTTGCCGTTCAGCTTTATGAATGAATATGCCTGTTGTATTTCTGGCAAAACGAGCAGAAATTCAGAAATGGCCTACTCCCTCGAGTTCTTTATGAAGAACAGAAAGTCCATGCTTTTCTCTGCTTTTCAGCCATTCTCTTTGCCATGTCCTTTGTCTTCGTTTTTTTTTTTTTGGGCGTCACAAGCCACCTGCCACAAAGAAAACTATTTCGTCCTCAGAATCCATATTTTTATGAATGGCGCGAAACGTAATGCTTACGTCAGAGTTTGTAAAATCATAGTAAATTCGTGTCGTGTGTGACTGCCTCCGTACGATTTTCGGATAAACTCAATCGTGACATGTGCCAGAGCTCACGATGTTCCGACCTTCAGAATCGCACTGTGTACACCCGCCTTTAATTATGCTTTTGTTAAATAAACTACTTTTATTTGCTACTAGCAGGTTAGCTCTCGTTTATGTTGAAATTTGGAGCCAGTTGTAACAGTTACTTTTGCTATATTACTTTAATTGTTTTGGTTCAACATACTTATCTTTTGTATTGCCTTAAACTTATACCAGAAAAAAAATATTTAGTTTTATTTAGTAACTTTCAACATTTTATCACTTTGATAAGAAAATTATTTACCTGAATAATTTTGACTTGCTTCTTTGGTAACTGATCAAGCAGACTTGCTGGAAGATTATATATCTAATGAACCCTAATGTCACGATCACCAGCTGGAGTGTCCTTGATAGTCACCAGAGGGCACTCCATCCCAGAATATTGTTACTGCCTCATGAACTACATTTCCCAGGACTCACTGTCTAGTCTCATCATCACTGATTGCATTCAGTTGTGTCTCTGTTAGAAAACACTCTCTGTCTTTAGATTGGTTCCAGATGTTGTCACCCCTCCTCTCCTTTTTTCCTGTCCCTCTTTCACTCGCCCTCCCTATACAGCGCACTCTCTCTGATTTCCCCCTCCTCCATCTGTTCTCTCTCTCTCTCTTGTATGATGTTTTAATGTCTCTTACTCATATTCGAGGTACGCATGCGCACATGTATGCATTAGCTTTTCTTGGTTCAAATGCTCAAATAAGGACACGAAAGCTAGGACTCCAAGGTAAAGGGGTTCGTGATGAACAATGAAGATAGTTCAGCATCCTTCGCCAAGTCTATTCCTAATATGTCCATATTTTTCTGTTCATGTGGCCATTTTATATAAACACATGTTCTTGGCCAAGATCCTATATGTATGTCATCTATATCCTCATTGGTTAAAGGGTTGAAACTCCCCTCGACATATGCCTATATAAGATATTTGTATCTATGAATAAAGTTGAAGTATTGAGAATACAATTTGAATGTGTGTTTTCTTGCTTCCCGGCCGTTATACACTTTAAGGGACTGAGAATTTTCAGAGGTGGCAAAGAGATATAGAGGGACCAATTGTTAATTTACTAACAGTCTCATTATCTCATTACCTCTGCCTTTAAAGCCCGGGATACACTGCACGATTTTAGTAATCCTATAAGATCATTAATTCTCTTGTATGATGTTTTAATGTCTCTTACTCATATTCGAGGTACGCATGCGCACATGTATGCATTAGCTTTTCTTGGTTCAAATGCTCAAATAAGGACACGAAAGCTAGGACTCCAAGGTAAAGGGGTTCGTGATGAACAATGAAGATAGTTCAGCATCCTTCGCCAAGTCTATTCCTAATATGTCCATATTTTTCTGTTCATGTGGCCATTTTATATAAACACATGTTCTTGGCCAAGATCCTATATGTATGTCATCTATATCCTCATTGGTTAAAGGGTTGAAACTCCCCTCGACATATGCCTATATAAGATATTTGTATCTATGAATAAAGTTGAAGTATTGAGAATACAATTTGAATGTGTGTTTTCTTGCTTCCCGGCCGTTATACACTTTAAGGGACTGAGAATTTTCAGAGGTGGCAAAGAGATATAGAGGGACCAATTGTTAATTTACTAACAGTCTCATTATCTCATTACCTCTGCCTTTAAAGCCCGGGATACACTGCACGATTTTAGTAATCCTATAAGATCATTAATTTATCACACTGTGTGTCATGGATCGTTTAAACTTGGGTACGACAAACATGTAGACCGTGCGATGATAACACCTATTGAATCGTAGGCTGCGACACACGTTAGTGCAATGTCATCAGCATGCTCTAGTGGTAAACAAATACCGGTACATCAAGATGGATCGCACTTTGGCAGTTGTGCTTTTCATGTGCGCTGAAACAAAGAAGAGGCGCCGGCGGAAGAGGACAATATGAACCCGCTCATGGTTTGGGAAAAGAGGACAACTTGGGATGCCAGTTTTGCACAGGGAGTTACAGCTGCAGTTCCTCCGCTATCTCCTTCCATGCTATGTCCTTTTTGGTGCGGTCATGATAACAGCTTGAGGACTCATCGTACAAACATGCCCTCTGCTGCCACAACTCAACAAGAATTTGTTCTTTATGGGTATCCCACATACCGTCTCAGGTTACTTATGTAACCATGGTTCCCTGAGTAGGGAACGAGACACTGCGTCCTCTAGGGGTCGCTATGGGGAACGCCTCGTCGTGACCCGTGTCTGAAGCATACATTGAAAAAACACCAACTCGTTGGCCGGCGACAGCCATGACGTCACTACCGGTGCGACTCCAGTATAAATCGGCGCCGGGAGCTACACATCATTCTCTTCTTCGTCTTCATTGACTGTTCTGTTTGAAGCGTGCATTTTCAAGGAAAAAGTAAGAGCTATCTATTTATTATGGCGAGCACTAGTAGAGCATTTAGAAGGTGTGTGCATCCGTGTCAGCGCTAGTTGACACCAGATGACACACACGATTTATGTGTTGTTTGTTTGGGCGAGGAGCACGCACGCGATGTCCTCGAGGGGGCAATCTGCGTGCATTGCGAGTTTTTTCCAATGAAAAAACTCCGTTCTCGTTTGTCTCTCTTTTCAAGTAAAGAGGGGCAGCCATCTGCTTCCCGCGGTTCAGGACCCTCCGCTGCTGAGGCACGGAGGAGAATGAGCTCGTGGCGATCTCAGGTGGACCTGGCCGATGAGTTTAGAGAGGGGCTTTCCTTCTCGCGCTCATCGGCGGGGGGCGAGAGACAGCCACTGGAGGATGATGTTCTCTCTTTAACATCATCTGATCCAGGGGCCAGTGCTCTGCTGGGTTCAGCCCAGGAAGAGCAGGAAATGGATGATGAGAGCGAAGAAGCTGAGGCTGAGCCTTCTCAATCCTCCTGCCCTGCGTATGATGAGCTCTTAGAGGTTATGGATCGCGCCACGGCAAGACTTGACTTGCCATGGAAGCGGACTAAGGAAGTGGCGTCGCGAGGTCGTCTCGACGAACGTTATCTTTCTGGCCATAACCCTCCAGCTCAGGTGAGTCTTCCTTTCCTTCCTGATCTCCATACTGAGATCGAGAAGGAATGGAAGAAGCCGTTTTCCTCACGCATCCATCGGTTTCAGCATACCAGTTATGCGAATATCGAGGCGGTGCGCGAAAACGGCTATGAGAGAATGCCCCCTGTAGAAGAGACGCTAGCTAGCTATCTCTCTATGGGAGAGACATCATCTCTCAAAACTCCCTCCTTGCCATCCATGCCTCTTCAAGCTACATCTAAAATGAATGGCAAGGCATACGCAGCAGCAGGTCAGGCTGTTGCTTCACTGCACACGATGGCGGTGCTTCAAGCATACCAGGCTGATCTGCTGAAAGACCTGGATAAAGGCGAGGGCCTTTCTTCTGATGAGATGGCTGAGTTACGCCGCACCACGGATCTTGCTCTTCGTGCTACTAAGCAGGCTGCCTCTGCCATGGGCAGATCTATGGCAGCGATGGTAGTAACGGAGAGGCAGCTGTGGGTAAACCTGGCAGACATCGGGAAGAAAGAAAGGGGTTTTCTTCTCGATG